AAATAAAGTGGCTGAAGTGGTTGGTCGTAAGGGCCAAAAACAAATTGCATCTTTAACATCATTAGTCACTTTGATAACCTGCATGAATGCAGGGGGAGACTTCGTTCCACCAATGCTCATATTTCCAAAAAAAAATATGAATGTGCAACTAATGAAAGGCACTCCTCCAGGATCAATATCAGCTGTTCACCCAAGTGGATGGGTTCAGGCTGCGTTATTCGCTCAGTGGTTCGAACATTTCATTAATACGGTAAAACCGACTGCATCTTCGCCTGTTCTTCTAATTTTAGATGGACACTATAGTCATACCCGTAATTTAGAGGTTGTTATTATGGCGAGAGAAAATCATGTTTGCATAATCTCATTACCCCCTCATTGAACACATAAATTGCAACCTCTTGACAAAACTTTCATGGGTACATTAAAATCTTACTACAGTGAGGAGATTAGGCAATGGATTCGTCATAATCATCGTCCCTTAACCCAATATGATATTGGGAACTTTTGGGAAAGGCTTATCTCAAAAGTCAGACTGGAGAAATCGCCGTAAACGCTAAACAAGAATATTTTTTCAGAAGTGGACTTTCTTGCAGCCGAAATAGAAAAAGGAAAGGAACACTGTACCGCTGAAAATGACTTCGCTGAGAGTACACCAGGCACATCTCAATCAGATCTAGAGCCTCCTAGTCTAGACAACGTTCCACCTGGGCCATGTGGTAAATTTCAATCAGATGTAGAGCTACTCAATCGCGACTGCGCTCAACCTGGACCATCTGGAATCCAAAAAAAAATTGTGACCCCCTTTGATATTTCACCAGTTCCGACCTTAAAAAAGAAAACAACTAATAGGGGTAGAAAAGCATCACAAGCAGCGGTAATTACTTCGTCCCCTTACAAAGACGAATTATTGTTGAGCACTGCCAATAAAACTAAACAAGAGATTACTAGGCAGTCTGATAAGTCCCTGAAAAATGAAACACGGAGACGTTTTTTTGGCCAAAGTCGGGTTTATTTTTCAACATACTCTCCTTTTAGGTCGATACAGCGAATCCAACGATTTTCTAACTTTTTGATACCGTCCGAAAAGTACTCGATCGGAAGGTCTCCAAAATACGCTTCAGTTTCAGCTATGAGCTCCTCATTTGAGTAAAAACGCTTACCGATGAGCCATCTCTTCAGGTTAGGGAATAAGTAATAGTCGCTGGGGGCCAGGTCTGGTGAATACGGTGGCTGAGGAACCAATTCGAAGCCGATTTCGTGCAATTTTGCTTGTGCAACTAAGCATGAATGAACAGGCGCATTGTCGTGATGATAAAGCGGTTTTTTCTTCTTCAAATGCGGTCGTTTTTCGGCGATTTCGATTTTCAATCGGTCCAATAATGATGAATAATATGCTCCGGTTATGGTTTTACCTTTTCCAAGATAGTCCACGAATATTATGCCATGAGCATCCCAAAATACGGAGGCCATAACCTTTCCGGCCCATTGTTGCGTTTTTGGACGCTTCGGAGCACTTCGGCCCGGTGGAACCCACTGTTTTGCCTGTTGCGTTGACTCAGGAGTGTAGTAATGGATCCAGGTTTCATCCATGGTTACAAATCGTCGCAAAAACTCGGTCGGCTTACGCGAAAATAATGCCAAATTCTGCTGGGAAGTCGTCACACGAATTCGTTTTTGGTCCACTGTGAGCAAACGCGGCACCCATCGCGCGCAGAGCTTCTTCATGCCCAAAACTGAATGGACGATATTGCCTACGCGTTCCAATGACATGCCTACAGCATTAGCTACCTCTCTCAATTTCACTTTGGGATCATTCAACATCATATCATGGATTTTTTCGACGTTTTCTGGTGTAGTGACCTCTTTTGGGCGCCCAGATCGTTCAGCATCAACTGTGCTTGTACGGCCACAACGAAACTCCGTAAACCACTTATGAATCGTTCCAATCGACGGTGCAGAGTCCGGGTAATACTTATCCAGCTTGGCCTTGGTCTCGGATATCGTTTTCTTGCGTAGATAGTAGTGTTTGATCAAAACTCGAAACTCGGATTTTTCCATATTAAAAAAAACTCTGAGGTTAGTCGCTTCTCAGTGCTGTAACTTGTAAATGTGTAAACATGAATGGCTGAAGTTTTGACAGGTGTCATTTGAAGGATCAGGCTCGACAAAAATGGTTCGCATTAGTGAATACTAATGCCATCTCTTAGAATTTTCAGGTACTTATCAGACTGCCTAGTAAGTCTGTTAAGAAAAAGGTGTTTTCTCCATCAACCAAAAATACATCGTCCATAACTTCAAAGGAGAATAAAAAGCAGCGATCTTTAGGAGAATCTGAAAGTGATGACGACGAAACAGAGCTGGTGTTAGCAGATGATGACTTAGATATGGATGATATGCCTGGACAAAAGGAACCAGATGATTTAGATGCGGAATGCATCTTTTGTGAAAGCAGATTTTCCGAAGACCGCAAAGGAGAACTGTGGGTTCAATGTTTAATGTGCAATATGTGGTGTCATGTCGATTGTGCAGGTGGTGATAAGGATGATTATGTTTGTGACTTTTGTCGCACTGGATAATATCTGATGTGTTCTTGTCAAGTGCTTCTGTTTTTTTTGCTGCTCTTAAATAAAGCTCTAAGTTACTTTTTGTAGGTATTTTTTCTAGTAGCCCATATTTGTATCACTATCTCAATATCTGGTATGATATTAATTTTATTTAAACATATAAAAATTCCAAACAGGTTTGTGTAAAAAAAAAAATGAAAACTACCAGCATAATGTTAGATTAGGTTCAGCTTGTCCGACAAAAAAATGCTGAGCCATATAGACCAAATATGTGTCAAATATGCCAATTTAATAAAATGGTAGCCCATATTTATACCCTCTCCTCTAACAATAATATTGACTGTAAACTTGGCAGTATAATTTTATTTTCTCAGAAATGCCTCGTCTTTTACAAGAAGAACGAGAGAAGTATATAACATTATTGGGAAAAGGTCGCTTAGTGAATGATGTAGCTTCAATTTAGAATGTTGATCGGTCCTCAATATACCGTTTAAGGCGTATATATCAGGATACCGAGGAAAATCCTACTTGCATGGGTGAGGCAATCCAAGAAAATACGAGGGGCCAAAAGACATTTATTACAGCAAGTAAAGCGAAGGAGGACCCTTTCATCCAGAACCTTGAATGAAAACTTACGGCGACACAGTGGAATAATAGCATCCAATCGTACTGTAAGAAGAACTTTAAATCCTAATTTGTTAAGGTATTTAAATGCAATAAAAAATTTACTAGGTTGTTTTTTAAAGTAGCATTCCTTCCAGAGCAAGGCGTCGCGCCAAGTGTACCCGACTTTTGAACAATCATAGAGTCGCTTAGGTACCAATGGGCCAGGAGCGGGTAAATTGGCATCAGCAGCCGCAAAATTGCATGTCTTCCGATCGAACACGCTTCAACCTATACCACTCTGATAGTAAGGTCCTTGTTTGGAGTCCCGCTGGGGAACGATATGATGAAGAAAACATGGCTCCACACAAGGCATTTGGTGGAAGTGGCATTACTGTTTGGGTTGCGGTTAGACACAATGGCAAAACCAAACTTCTTATTTCAAACAGGACAGTTAATGCTGCAGTTTATAGGGACAACATTTTTGAGCAATATTGCACAAGATTTTGGGGAAGATTTTGTCTTCATCGATGATAGCGTCAAGCCGCACAGAGCTCGAACGGTTGTAAACTTTTTGGCAGAAAATAATGTTACATTATTGCCTCTGCCATCAAAGTCTCCAGACCAAACATAATTGAGCATGTGTGGTCTCGGCTAAAATTTTTAGTGCGGTCAAGACAAAATGCTTCTCAAACAATGGAAGGGCTCACGAAAATGCCAGGCTGTGATGGATGTGCCGACAAGGTACTAACAATATTGTTTAAAATAACTGTTTCTGTTTTGTAAAAATTTCGTTTTTGCCATAAATAAATAATTTGGGTATTTAACTGGTCTTTAAATTTTTGTTTTCTAGAATATTACATATTCTTAATGTTAATCAATAAATACTTTGATGTTGTTTAAAGATTTAATAGAGTCTATTGCCTATTGGAAAACATCTCCAGTGAAGAGCGTAAGCCAATGCTGAATGAGAAAGATAAAAAATAAAATAAATAAAATTGTAATAAGCAATATCATACTTGTTTATTTTTGCTTCATTTCACTTAAGGAATTAATAAGACGCTTGGAAACCTCTTGATACAATTCATTTTTATTTTCTCTAAAACTATCCGAGATTGCCTGTTTTTATAGGAGACAAAAAATGAAGTAAATAAAAAGATCGGCTAATTAAAAAAATTGAGAGCGGTCGGGAAAGTTGCTAAAAAAAATCTGCTGCATTTATATAGGGGTTGGGGTAGTTTTCATCTTTCTTGGACCCCGTAGAGTTTTTCGTGAATCAAATATTAGAACGTCTAGTAAAACATATGTGTTCCAAATTTCATTCAAATCGGACTATCGGTTCCAAAAATATCTGAAAAGGTGTGGTTTAAAATTAAAACTTTGACGCCCTAATGATAATGAATCTATGCCATTGAAGTGAAATAGTAATGTGAACATCCGTTCAACCATATTGCTCTATCGATTTGCACAGTGTGATCAAATTTACCATTCAATTCTATGTTGAATGGCATAGATTCATTATTATTGATCAATACGATTGACTGATGAGGACCCGCTTTAGGAATACGGGGTACTTCTCTGTCTAAGGAATATTGGGACACCCTGTAAAATAGAATAAACTGCCAAATACAGAACAAGATAAAGATATTTTCTGTTTCCTCAAAAACGCAATATTTAAACAAAGTGTGTTGTCACCGAACCGACGGTCGAACCAAAGCAAAGAACCATCGATTTGAATGAACTTCATCGCGGGGTGGGAGAAATGTGTATCACTGCAAGGTTACTTGCTTCAAATAAATCTGCCGTATAAAAACACTCGGTACATAGATGGGACTTGCCTCCCGGTAATCGCGAAGTTACGGTTTTGTGTATATCGCAAAATGTTTCTCTCACCTACGACTATTCTTGTAAGTATCAACGACATTATATAAAAAATCAAGTATTGTTTGAAAGAGACTGTTACCTCTTTTGCAAGTCCAAGATCAAGACTTGGCCCGCAAGAAAAAGACCAAGAGTGTGGTGCAAGATTCTTGCGGACTTTCAAAAACTACTTGTCCAAAATATTGACAACTCACAGTTTCAATTTTTAGAATGCCTATAAAAAGTTCAGGTTTAAAAGATCAAGAGAGTATTATGGGCACCTTCTTGAAAGAACTAGCAAGATTATAGGCTATAAAAATCTGTTTCGTCCGCAACAAGTTTTCCCCACAAATTTCTGCAAATTTGAACACAACAGTAATAAGTAACTACGAGTATTTTAATATTCTGCACCCTCATCGATAGAAAACTTACACAAAAACTTTCGACTTTATATACATACAGGGTGTAAAGTTAATAGTGGATCAACGGAAGTCAGGTGATAGAGGGCCTCAAAACCTATCTCGAATGAACCCCTATATGTGTGGTCCGAAATTTTATAGTTCAGGAGATATTTGAAGTTTTGTGAAATTTCGAAAAAACGGGATAATGAACTTTCAATCGCAATTACAACTAAACCATCACGTTTAGGGCTGTGATTTTTTTTGAGATGAGCTAAATGGTTAGCTTTAGCAATGGTCATGTCACTTTTTAACAGAGCTTATTAGAAATCAATGCAAAAAATCTTAAATTCATCTTTTGTGAAAAATCTCTTCCATCTCTCAACTTTGGAGGGCGGTAAAAAGAATTGACGTTGTATTTCATTATTCATTTTATTGTAAAAACTATTTTAATCCATGTAGAATAAACCCTGAAAATTTCAGCTTGCTAAGTGCCTCATTTTAAAAAATCTGTATGTTTGACGCAGGTGGGCATCTATACATGTAAACAGGAAATTCTATTTGACGAGCTACAGTCCAAATGAGTCCAAACGACTTAATGGATTTAGACATATCAGCTACTGTTAGATTCGTCCTAGTAGTGCGAGTGATACTGTGTATATTAACATTTTGTAAAATCAAAATGGCGGATTTTTTAAGCAAATAGCCAAATCAGCTTACTGACCTTGGGCATTCAAGTCGGCATGCCAGGTGCGGGAGCGTTCAATCTTCAGTCCTACCCTAATTACTAAGTCAGCCAATGGTCCAGCGCAGAATTTGTATCTAACGTTTGGCATCTAAGTAGAATCGTGTCATATTCTCCGGGAGATTATGCAGAAATACATTACTATTATGGTGCTGCCTTAGAAAATGCTCGAGCAGCTGCTCGCATGTTTCGTGAGTATGTGGTTAGAAGAGGTATATCCCGACTACCGCGTTTCCATAATGCGTATATGGAGGTCCGCATAATCATGGTTTAGTTGTAATTGCGATTGAAAGTTCATTATCCCGTTTTTTCGAAATTTCACAAAATTGCAAAATCTCCTGAACTATAAAATTTCAGACCACATGAGTACCGAAGTACCTCTCGGATTTTGATAAAATTTTTACGAAATGTTACTACTATGCCAACGACACAAAAGCCTTGTAGTTCTTAAAAATCGGTCCAGTGGTGGCGGAGAAAAAGGCCCAAAACGAAAAAGAATAAAAGTCGCTCAAACATTGGTTTTTGACGTTTCAGTAAATCATTTTTGAAAAACATTTTGGAAGTAACTTGGGGGTGGGAGTTGTAAAGGGGTGGGGAAAGTTAATATCCATTTTTTTATGTTTGTACATCTATACGCTCCCAACCTTGGTAGTTCTATGCACTATCGGAAGGGCAGTGAAAGAATGTCCATGGACTAATTGTATGGACCTGTTTGACAGACGTTTCTCTCAGAGGGTCTAGTTTGTGCTGAACATAATCCTTTATTTACTGATAATAGCGTTGCGTGGGAAGTGCAGAGTCAACGTACTTGACGCCACTTTCCATGATGCATCACACTGACTTACATGCTAAAATGTTGACTGTTAAGTTTTTTCCAGAGCAAGTTTTCTACATGCATATTGTGAAGTTCCAGCGGCACACTAAATTCACTTTTTCAGATACTCCTATTGGAAAAAACAATTTTATAGACATATTTATTTTGCATCCTCCTTGTAACCAGAAATTTTTTGTGTCTAGCAGGGACTTTGGCAGTAACGGAATATTTTAAAGATATTTTTTTCAGATGCATACGAGTACGAGATCACAAGTGAGATTTTTGAATAAAAAATTATATTGAAATGAAAATAGTTATTTGGCAAGTAGTCTGAATACATATAAGTATTTATCCGTGGAAGGGGTTACAACAGTAAGCCTTATGAAGCACGTGGAAACGACATTTCAACATACAATCCATATAATGCAACAGCAATCAATACTAAGACTTCAATAATTTTGCAAGACCAAGACGTATTGGTCTTGGTCTTGCAAGTCAAAACCAAGACAAAGATCAAAACTTTTGTTATAATATAAGACCAAGACCAAGCAAGTCTTGTTCTTGCGAAGGCCTAGTCAGAATATCGCGATATTTGATTACCATCTGTATTTCTCATAGATTTATATGTTTCAAATTCGACCCTCATAATTAAGATCTCGGGAGCTGTAAGAGATACGAAGTCGCTTGAATGCAGGGAAAGTTGAGTTTTTAGTACTTCCGGGGGAGACGAAAAAAACGATTTCTTCCAAAAAACTTTTATTTTTTTTCTGACTTCACTTGTAGAGGGATTGGATAATAAATTGCATACTAAGATTGTCACTTTTTCTCCTCTACAAGATGACATAATCAGAATTACAATATGCCGTTTCGTGCTTGTCTTTCAGCATCAACTTTATTTTTTCTTATGGACGTCATATTGCGGTTTTTAATATATACTAAGTGACATATAAATTCGAACACCCAGTTTAAATGGTTTTATTTTAATAAAATTTTGTATAAGTACTTAATGAAGCGTAATAAGTAAACGATAAAAATTTCAAAATGATTGCACTGCTTTAAAGCCCTTTGACCTTTAATAATGTGTGGATGCATCCTGATGTGCTACGCATTCTCCAACGCACCTAGGCATGCTTCTGATCAGGTGGTCAATGTCCTCCTGTGGTATCTCATTCCAGGCAACCACCAACTCCTCTCGAAGTGCTTCTAGAGTCTGAGGAGGACGTTGCAAATTGAGCACTCTCCTACCCATCATATCCCACACGTGCTCAATTGGGGATAAGTCGGGAGATCTTGGTGGCCATGGTAACAATGTGACATCATTATGTTGAAAGAAATCTATTGTGACTCTTGCAACATGTGGTCGGGCATTATCTTGTTGGAAAGTTGGATCTGCCAGGGTGTCAAGATAGGGTAAAAGATGGGGTTCTAGAACTTCGTGGATATAACGCTGCGCGTTCATGTTACCTCTGATGAAGATGAAAGGTCACCTGGAACCATAAGCCATAGCACCCCAAACCATAACTCCAACAGTGTGATGAACATGTCTTTCAACAAAAAACTGTGGATTCCTCCTATCACCACGTCGCCTTCTAACCCTGGCACGACCATCGTGCATGCCTAAACAAAATCGAGACTCGTCACTAAAGACAATACTGTTCCATTCCTGATCCCAGAGTGACCGTTGTCTGCACCACTCAAGGCGATTACGTCGGTGTTCTCGAGTTAAAGGGAGGACCCAGTGTGGCCGGTATGAAAACAAGCCAAAACTTCTCATTCATCGGTAAACACTTCGCATGCCAATAGGTCTTCCGTGTTCTGCAAACCATTCATTTGCAATGGACCTGGTAGTGGAGAAACGGTCCCTTAAAGCCAATAGTCTTAGGCGGCGATCTTCACGGTCTGTTGTTCTACGGCGGCGTCCAGTGCCCCTTGCTCTTTGCGTACGGCCTTCTCGAAGCCATGCCTGACAACACCTAACCACAGTGTCTACACTTCTTTGCACTCTAACTGCAATTGCCCGAAAAGAAAGTCCAGCTTCCCAAAGTCCCACTATACGGACCCTATCAAACTCACTAAGTTGACGAAATCGTACAGGTCTCCGTACTCTAGGCATCGTAACCGATCATAAAGGATGTCAAGAACCAAAATCCGCCAACGTTGATTCTTTACTGATTCATTTTTAGAGCGTTAGTGAATTAAAAAAAAGCAGTATAAAAACCGGAATGTCCAACTGAAAACTGAAAACTTATTTATTCCAAAAAAAGACGTATTTCCAAGGTAGGCCTTGAAATTATCAGATAGTCATTTGTTTCGTATACCAGATTTGTCGCAAAACATTTTTATTTTTCCTAGGCTTATTTGAGATGAGATTTTAAAATAAATTGCTCGTTGCAATTGCAACTTTTTTTCATCTACAAAATATGACGTAGTCAAATTTTCAATTCGAGGTTTCTTCCTTTGAGTTCCACGGCAAGCTTTGTTTTTTCATATGGACGCCATATTGCAATTTGGTACATTTAAATAGACTTTTCGGTCCTAACTTCAGTGATATATTTCTTTAGATGGCCATGAGTTTGTTGTTGGAACGAAAATTGTAAGGAAATAAAAAGGTATGGTATGATTTTGTTTATGGTAATAACTAATAGCAATACCTAATAATCATAAATATACAGATGTAAATCAGATGTTCAAAATGCTGTCCGTTATTTTGTAAGCAAAGCCTGACACTTCGTTGTACATTGTTTACTGCTCATTTTATTCCAGTACGTCTCAGTCTTTCAAGCTCTATCACTATATACCTATGTACAATTTGAGGTCTGGTCTGGTAAACGAAACAAATGACTATCTAATAATTTTAAGGTCTATCTAGGAAATTTTGTTTTTCTGAAATAACTAAGAAATAACTAAAGTTTGACAATCTCATACATTTTTGGAATCAGAATTAATAACTCTATCCATCTGTGTAATAACCCAATATTGCCTCCATAAGAAAAAATAAAGTTGATGCTGGAGGTCAAGAGACGAAACGAGATACTGAAATTCTAATTATGCCTTTTTATAGAGGAGAAAAAGTGGCAATATTAATATGTA